TCATCCGGGTCCTGGGATCGACCTGCAACCCAGGTACATGCTCTTGATTGGGAATCGAACCTGGGACCCTCAGGTGCATGGGCCAACACTCTACCACTGAGCCACACCGGCCAGGGCAAGGGGTGTCCTGCTTAAGAGACCTATCTTCTGTTCGATGCTCTTCAGTTCTCCTGGTATTTGGTAAATGTCTCTTCTAGGGTCGTCCTTTCAAGGATGTTCGATGAGGTCGTGGAGGTAAATCTGATAGACAGTGCGGACTATATCCACCTGGCCTTTCTCAAGAGACCTGAGCTCGGGGTCACCCTCACCAAGCTTCACTGCTGGACTCTCACCCATTACAGCAAGTGTGTCTTTCTGGATGCAGACACCCTGGTGAGTACAGCGGGATTGTGAGAACGAGGCGGCCCACGTGTTGAGAAACCCGTGAGAGACGATCCTTCCCCATTCCTTCAGCAGGCTGCTACCCTGGGTGGTGTGGCTCAGTGGTTATAAGAGTATTGGCCCATGCACCCAAGGGTCCCGGGTTTGATTCTCAGTCAAGGGTATGTACCTGGGTTGCAGGTTCAACCTCAGGCCCTGTATCCACCTCGACTGGGGATTGAACCCACAACCTAGGTATGTGCCCTGGCCAGGAATTGAACCCAGAACCTTTTTCATGTGTAGGATGATGCTCCATCCAACCCACCGAGCCACCCAGCCAGGGTTCTGTGCTATAGTTTTATACATCTGGCAATAGGTCTGTTAACACCAGCCTCATATCACAGATACATATGTACTATGTTGTGCTACAGTGTTTCAATGGCGATCACTTTGCAATGGCAACAATGTCACCACACAATAAGAATTTTCCAGGTCCCTGGGGCCATTGTCATATATTCAGTCCATTGTTATGTGCACCTGACTGTACAAGTGTAAGAGAGAAAAAAAGTCTCTCAGAAAACTGGGCACAGGCTCGGCTGGTGTGGCTCAGTGGTTGAGCATTGACCTGTGAACCAGGAGGTCATGGTTCAATTCCTGGTCGGGGCACATGCCCGGGGTTGCCGGTTCGATCCCCAATAGGGCGCTTGCAGGAAGCAGTCGATCAATGACTCTCATCATTGATGTTTCTCTCTCTCTCTCTCTCTCCCTCTCCCTTTCTCTCTCTCTCTGAAATCAATAAAAATATATTTAAAAAAAAAAAATTGGGTGCAGGTTGCAATCACCGAACACTCTTTGGCCCATCCTCAAGCCCCTCCTTCATTTCTCACCTGCGCACCGGAGGCCCCAGGTGAACGACTATAGGTTTCCGTGCCCTGCTCTTTCGCCAGGTGCTGTCCAACGTGGACGAGCTGTTTGACAGGAGCGAGTTGTCAGCAGCCCCGGATCCCGGCTGGCCTGATTGCTTCAACAGCGGGGTCTTTGTCTTCCAACCGTCGCTGGAGACCCACGGCCTCCTGCTGCAGCATGCCACCGACCACGGCAGCTTTGATGGTAGGTGATGGGATGTGGGAAACGTGTGGACCCATAGCCCTGCCCCGTGCCCATGTCTGCGACTGACGGCTTGACATCAGGGAGAGGCAGGGACCCAAGGATACGGCCAGCAGGTGGCAGGAAGAATGAAGACATCCTACTCTGTGGGCAAGAGACAGAGAGACCCATGGAAAATACCTCGTACAAGTAGAATGACTCCCAACCCTGATCCTACAGAGTGCGTAGGCCATCCTTTCTCTAAAAGGCCACGTGACACGTTTTTTTTAAATTAAAAAAAATGTTTTTATTGATTTCAGAGAGAGGAAAGGAGAAGGAGAGAGAGGCCTTGATCAGCTGCCTCTTGCACGCCCCCTACTGGGCATCGAGTCTGCAACCTGGGCATGTGCCGTGCCCGGGAATCGAACCCGTGACCTCCCCGAACCCTCAACCGACTGAGTCGCGCTGGCCTGGCCAGAGAAAACATTTTTTTTAGCGATGTCTGTTGCAAATATTTAATTCTGCGTTTGTAGAGTGAAAGTAGTCGTTGACAAGACTCCACCCAATGCACCTGTCTGTGTCCCAATAAAACTTTATTTGTAAAAAAAGAAACGCAGACTTTAGTCGGCCAACCCCTGATGTAAAAAGGAAAGGAAGAATTAAATGGAGCTGACCCGGTGCCAAAAATGTGACTCAAAGGGCATTGAAGAGATGGAAAAAAATCGCTAGGGTGTTTATAATGTTAAAAAAATATATTCGATATCGATGAAGAATTGTGTCTGGGAAAGAAAGGGGGCCCTAAGGAAGCCGGCTGACTTGCTGCGGGGAAAAAAGTCGAATTTTGAAGACTAGGCCGTTTTATTATGCATGGTTTGGTTATCAGTGGAGAATTTTGGAGAGAATACGGGTTTTTAAAATTCATGGAATGGCATTAATGGTGTTTAGTTAATGGCATCAGTTAATAGGATTAAAGCTATGACCATAAATGGCATTGATGAAAAGTAATGAATAGTATTACCACTAGGGGTAATTTATTAATCGCTGCTGGCGATTAATAAAAACGAACGGCGTCCTACTTGGAGACAACGACAATGTTTAATTTAGCAGGCAGAGAGGAGAGGTGCAGTCAGTGACCTTGAATGCCCTTCGAACGCCCGTTGCGCCCTCTCAGCACCCGGAANTGTTTAATTTAGCAGGCAGAGAGGAGAGGTGCAGTCAGTGACCTTGAATGCCCTTCGAATGCCCATCGCACCCTCTCAGCACCTGGAGCCCCCCTTTCTTAGCTCCTCTGGGTGTTTGTTCACCGTTTTAGGGGCTGACCAAGGCCTGCTGAACAGTTTCTTCAGCAGCTGGCCCACAGCGGACATTCGGAAGCACTTGCCCTTCATCTACAACCTGAGCAGCAACACCGCCTACACCTACAGCCCCGCCTTCAGAAAGTGAGTGTCCCCCCCACCGGGTGCCCACATCACCAGGAGCAAGCTTCTTACTCAGAATCTACATCAGCTTTTCGGGAAACAACAAAAAATTAAGTCCCCCCCCCAATGGCTCATAATTATAAAATCATCCTTGGGGCAGTGGTTCCCAAAGTGTTGCCCAGGGAACTCCTGCTGGGGGAGGGGGGGTTCCCCGCAACACTTCCCAGGGTCTGCAAAGTCAAAAGAATTTTTTAAAAAAATAATAATAATTCTGAGATGGTATTTCCCTTTCTTTTTCACTCTCCGTTTTTCATAAGCATCCGGTGGGATTTTTTACAGGAGGTACAGGGAGTGATAAAGCAATGTACTGAATGGAGACAGGGTTTTTTAAAAAAGAGCTTAAAACGGTCAATGTCAGCCTTTTTATAATTTTTTTTTGGAACACAGATATTCTAAAAATAATTTTAATATCTGTAATTTGCAATACACATGAATGTTGTTAATATTATAAATTGATATTCACCTATAATGGGTCGATTGCTTTCCAATGAATCGATAAATACAGTTTCTAACTCCCCAGTTTTAACTTTTTCCTGTAAATGCGTGTAGATAGAATTCACAAGAACAAAGCTTTTGGAGTCCCCAGTGGTTTTTAAGAAGGTCAAGAGGTCCGGGAACTGAAACGTTTGTGCTCTGTTACTGTACCCACATAGTTATAAACGAAAATTGAAAATCTGAAGACAAGTCTTCAGATTTCCAGAGCTTGCTTTTTTTTTCTTTTTTTCTTTTTTAAATCTTCCCCCAAGGATATTTTTTCCCTTGCTTTTCAGAGAGAGAGGGAGAGAGAGATAGAAACATCAATGATGAGAGAGTCATGGATCGGCTGCCTCCGGCCCGCCCCCGACTGGGGATCGAGCCTGCAACCCAGGCATGTGCCCTGACCCGGAATCGAACCCTGACCTCCTGGTTCATAGGTCGATGCTCAACCGCTGAGCCATGCGAGGCTGGGATGATTACTTTTTTAGATGCATGCATGCATAAGTAAGTTTATAAATAAATGAATAAATATATATAGAAAGATCGACAGATAGATAATATATCTTTGCACAAAATAACTACAAGTCAAAGTGGTTGTGATTCCACAATTGTCAGTACCCCACAAGACATCTCTTTGACGGGCCTCGTGGTTCTGGTTGCTTTCTGTGCGTGTCTGGGCGCTTGCAAGCAGAAAAACTTCTCTGTGTTTTCTTCTCAGATTTGGCTCCAGTGCCAAGGTGGTCCACTTTTTGGGGTCCACCAAGCCTTGGAACTACAGGTATAATCCACAGACTGGCTCGGTTTTGGAGGAAGGCTCTGGGATGGCCGCCCAGCACCAGGCGGCCTTTCTCAACCTCTGGTGGAGCATCTACCAGCGCAGCGTCCTGCCTCTCTACAGAAGCATCCGGGACGGGCAGGGCCATGCATCTCCGAGACACACAGTGAGTGGCGGGAATTCCCTTCGAATGAATGCAAGAGTTGAGAACAGACTGAATAATACTGTCCTAACTTGGCCCTGGCCGGTGTTGCTCAGTGGTTAGACCGCCAGCCCCCCAGACCAATGGGTCTCAGGTTCTATTCCCACCCAAAGGACACGTGCCTGGGTTGCAAGTCCCATTCCCGGCTCTGATCGGGGCAACCAATCCATACGTGTCTCTCACATCAACATTTCTCTCTCACTCTCTCCCGCTCGCTCCTTTACTTCCACTCTCTCTAAAAATCAATACAAAAAAAATCCTCGGGTGACGATTAACAAATTAGTAATAGTAATATTGTAGCAACATTGCATGGTGGTAACAGTAACATTGTAGCAACTTTGCACGGCGGTAATAGTAATATTGTAGCAACTTTGCATGGTAGTAATAGTAATATTGTAGCAACTTTGCACGGCGGTAATAGTAATATTGTAGCAACTTTGCACGGTGACAGAGGGTTTCTAGACTTATGGTGGTCATCGCATTGAAATGTCACGTCACTATGCTGTACCCTGGAAGATAATATGATATTCTATGCCATCTATGCTTTAATTTACAAAATTTTATTTTTTATTTTTTAATTTTTTTTAAACATATCTTTATTGATTTCAGAGACAGGAAAGGAGGGGGAGAGAGAGAGAGAGATAGAAACATCAATGATGAGAGAGTCATTGATCGGCTGCCTAGCCCGCAACCCGGGCATGTGCCCTGACCGGGAATCGAACCCCGATCTCCCGGATCCTAGGTGGATGCTCAACTGCTGAGCCACACCCGGCCGGGCTAATTTACAAAATTTTAAGCAATGAACCAAGAGCTTGGCTGCTGTGGCTCAGCTGGTTGAGCACCATCCTGTCCACGAAACGGTCGCGGGTTCGATTCCCACTCAGGCCACATGCCTGGGTTGTGGGCTCGATCCCCAGTAGGGGGAGTGCGGGAGGCAGGCAATCGACAAGTATCGTCATTGATGCCTCTCTCTGTCTCTCTTCTTCTTTCTCTCTAAAAAAAAATCAATAAAAGCCTATTAATAAAAATAAACCAAGAGTTGAGAGCAGAGATAAACGCTCCACCATCAACACCGAGCGTATTNTCTCTAAAAAAAAATCAATAAAAGCCTATTAATAAAAATAAACCAAGAGTCGAGAGCAGAGGTAAACGCTCCACCATCAACACCGAGCGTATGTCCATCAAATCTGCCCCCTTCCGTCTCCACATACTGGATTTCACACAGAAAGATAATAGACAGGTGACCTTTTTTTTTTTCTTTCTAGTTTTTGGCTCAAAATAATGATTCTAATGAGCCAAAATGCTGCTTTAATGTAGCGGACCGATGCATAAATCATGCAAAAAAATTAAATTATTTAAATTAGCTTCGTTCATCAGGGAAAGAGCCTCCTCATAGATAAACGGCTGAAGACGACTGATTTCCTGCATCACTTGAAGAGACACGTCCCACTTTCCATTGTCCACTGAAATTGCAACCCGGGGACGTTTCTGAGAAGGAGTTTTTAAAAAATTGTTGATTGACACCCATTTG